ATTCTGTTACACCAAATACACAAAATAATGATCTTTAAAATAGCATCATATGACCCCTTTAAATACACCATTAGTTTCACTGTACAAAAGCTTAAATAGCATTTCAGTAAGTTGGCTTTCTCAAGCCAACTTAATAACTATTCCATTACTTCGTTAGATACCAGAGCTTTTTTTATTAGATGGTTGTACTTATTCAAGTAGTGACTAGTATTTAATTATACTTGACTAGTTAAGAAAATACAAACTATTTAGTTTTAAGCATTTAATGTTAAAATGTCTTGCCACATGTCAGTGTATCGCAAACGTTAGGCACATACGCTGTCTACCTGAAGTTTCTTTCTCATTGCTTGGGGTTTGTTGCAGTTTTTTTGGTAAGGATCCCGATAGAGAACCAGGTCAACATGCATTTTTAACACGAATGTAATGACACTGTCAACACATCCTGTAATATATCTTGAAATCATAAAAAGTGAAAGTGATATGGAAATATAAAGGTCTCCTGTTTCAGTTGGTCTCACTAATTAAATATTGCACATTCCAGCAGTGCGCGAGAAGTTCCTTCCATCCAATCACAGCGTGCGCTTTTGCGCCTTGTATCGCCTCGCCTTCAGTCCGAAACGCGCCGATTGGCTGCGTCAGTGCGAACTGTTTTGTTGATAAATAACTTTGATGGATTGATTATTTTTCAAGAGGATCGTCGAACTCTGCACGTCCTGCAAACAGTATCGGTAAAATTGCGCTTAAACAGCAGAATGTAAACAGGGTAACATGTTTGGTGACTACAACTGAAGAGTTCAAATGTGTTCGGATAGCAAAAGTTGTTGAATCTGTCAGCCTACATGTCGGAAAGGCCTCTCGATGCATTATGACATGGTATTTTAGCGTTTCAAATGTGCGCACTTACGTCTAGGCGATTACGACAGACTGCATTGTTCGTAGTGTTTAAATGGTCATGCACGCTGTTGACTTTGCCCAGGGTTGGAACTGTTTTGTAAGGTGCTGTCACCCGAACTTGAAAAGTAAGGAAGGAGCACGTCAATACCATATTGCAACAGTGTAAGTACGCTACAGTCTTAATCTGTTTCATACACGACATTTCGTTCAATAAACCAAGAAACGTAAAGGAGCAAAGTGCACCAAACTGATACTTTGTCTTCTTACAGGGAAGTATGTAGGGTGGTTTGTTTTGCTGGGCAGCATTTATTATACATATATTTTGTTATAACAAATGTTTCATCGTAGTTGCTAGTTTGGGAGGGGTCATCAATGTGTTGAAAAGTAGTTCTGCTTGTTCTCTCTCTCCTGTATTCTCTCCCCATCTCTCTCTCCCTTTCCCTCTTCACTTCCTGTAATTCTTGTTGTCTTGCATTGCACTTTCATGCCCCTCCCTTGCTGTCTGCTCTTGCCTTCTGCGTTTGTGTTTGTCAAGTTTCCTGGTTTTAGGCCACTATGTTCCTTTTCTACTCACAGGTCTTACCAAACAGCCATTCATTAATGGTATGCAAAAGGAATTTTTTGCATTTAGTGTCATGTCATTCTGTGAGTCAGTTTTGACATGATATGGCCTGTTTTGTTATTGGTGATCTGAAGATTTCTTGACAACTCATTCTATTTATAATTCATTTGAACTGTTCTGCTGCTGTAGAAATGTGAGCATTGACATTTTACAAATAAGAGCATTTATGATAAAGAAAATTTTTTTTTAAAATGTGCCAAGTGTTTATATATGTACTCTTTTTGTATTATTTTTAAGAAAAGTTTAATTTAATGACTTGTTTAGTTTAATGTTTTTTATTTTTTTATTTTTTTTTTCAAAAAAGTTTTGGGATGTTGTTTTTATATCTTTATAAGTTTTGTTTATGAAAAATTGAAAAAATAATAAAGGATTATGTGAAACTACTAAAGTTTTTCTTTTAAATGATTTCATGCTTTTAATGATTCTTTGCATTCTAATATCAGGTCAGTTGTTTTACCCTGACATTTTGAACTTTATGCCCCCCAAAATTATTAAAATGAATTTTAATTCAAAAGCTAAAATCATCTTTATGTAGCCCCTAAGGGGACATAATGATGAAAAAAGTGAGATTTAAAAATTATATTTCAATGCTTCAGCATTTGCAGTTTTGTACCCCTAAACTTTGTGTTCGCTCGAAATGTTTCTTGGGGGTGCACAAATGTTTTGTAATGTGCAAAACCATGAAATATAATTTTTCCTTAAATATCATACTTTGTCCCTTGAGGGGCTCTGTACATCATAGAAGATGTGCGTGCAAGTTACTGTATGTATCAGTAGCATTTTTAATGTATTTTTGAATTAATTAATTATATCGAGACAAAATAAAATGAGTGTCATGTCACTGATCGATTTGTCTTTTACTTTTTTGTTTATTTTGTGTATAATGCAGACATAATTATACTCCTATTGTGACTGACTTCAAAACTTTACTTTTTGTCTTTCTCTCCTTTTTAGAACATTTCCTGTGACTGAGGAATGACTGAGTTTTTAAATATTTACACCACCTTTATACTGCAGTTTAGAAGCAAGAAGGGAGGTGGCGCGTCTAGACCTCACAAAATTGTGCATGTGCTCTGCTCTGTAAAACATTTTTTTTTTTTTACATCCGGCCTAGTAATAGGCTTACTTAAAACTGAAGTGCTGAATGCTCCAGGTTTTTGCTTGTCTTATAGTTTCACACAATTGCCATGAGTCTTTCTCCACCTCAGAGAGGAACCATAAACCGTATTAGCAAGCAGAATGTTGAAGCCATTGGGGAAACAATGCAGCATTCAGGGGATCTCTTCTACAATGTGGGCACTCCGTCCTTGGAGCAAACTCACAGCAGCCCAGAGGTTTTGATGGATTCAAGCCCTGAAGTCCAGGGCGTTTACAAATCTGATAAAGCATATCAGGTCCAGGGCCATCTTCAGCAATCGGGACCAGTAAAGTGGATGCCTCAAAACACAATGCAGACCGCGGCTTGGTTTCAGGGCGTCCCGAACCTGAACAAGTGGTCACAGAACTTTGGCCCTTCTCTAGGTGGTATAGATGACCCAAGAGGCTTTCACAAAAGTCATGAAATGGAGGCTGTAAAGTTGGAGAAGCATTCACCTAGTTCATCACAGTCCTACACGGACACCGTTCACGTTCCTGGGGCAGATTGGGACCATCACACGATGGCTGCCATGCATCATGCTCAATTTCAGGCGCTCCAACAAAGTCACAGACCTGCAGACCTCCAGTATCAGCCTCAGGGAATGCATCACGATGTGTCCGACTCCACTCTGCAACCCTTCCAGTTGGCATTCGGACCTACCAAGCAACCACAGGCACCTGGTTTCCAACAAGTCTTCCAAGGCAACAATGCGCCTTTAAATATGAATTATAACGAGAAGCCGAAATCACAACAGCAACTCTTGCAGTTGCAACAGCAGCAGCTGCATCGTCAGCACCAGATGCAACAGCTGCAGCAAATGCATCAGTTGCAGAAGCAGCAGCAACAACAACAACAGCAGCATCAGTTGCAACAGCAGCAACGGCTGCAGCAAATGCAACAGCAATACCAACAGCAGAAACATCTGCAACAGATGCAGCAGATGCAGCAGCAACTGCAACAACATGAAGGTTTTCAACAACTAGAGACTATAGAAAAGCAGAGAGTCAAACAAGACATTGAGTCACAAGATCTTGCCAGCGCTCAGGTAAAAACAGAACTGAGCCAGACCCAGCTCATGGTCCCTCAGTCACAACATCCTGTTCCTCAGGGAGCAAATTATCAGGAATCTGGATCTGCAGAGGCCACTCCAGAACTCCAGGAGACCCAAACCAAACGTCAGGTCCTCCCTCGCCGCTCTCGACGGCTCTCCAAAGATGGAGTCTCTCCTCAAGGCAACCAGACATCCAATGACAAGGTTTCTGCCCAGAATGGAGGAGTTGGTGGAGTGCAAGGACCTGCAGTAGGGGTCATCCAAAGCACTCCGAGACGACGGAGGGCCTCAAAGGAGATCAACCTTGAGACTCTTGCTCAAAAGGCTTCAGAGATGGAATTTTTGCCAGCAAAGGTGAGCCTATTTCATTTGGAAATCCATTTGAAGACATTGGAATAGCAGAAATATGTTCTAATATTAAATGTAACATATGAGAACATACCGGGCTGGAAATAATATCCTGATATGGTGCTCAGGAAATGTTTTTTGTTATTATCAATGTTAAAAACAGTTGTGCTGCTTAATATTTTTGTGCAAACCGTGATACTTTTTTTTCCCAGGATTTTTTGATGCATAGTAAGTTTAAAAGAACAGCATTTATTTGAAATAGAAATTATTTGAGACATAATAAATGTCTTTACTGTCACTTTTGATCAATTTAATGTGTCATTGCTGAATACAAGTATTTATTTCAAAAGAATTATCTTACTAACCACAAACTTTTGAATGGTTAGCATGCATTAAATATATGCTGGAATGTTTTGCTGCTTTGATGGTCTCCCAAGTTGTTTTTGTTGTTTAATCCATCTTGTGAATTAGCTCATTCAAAACCTAAACATTCCCATTGCTGACACTAGTAATAATTTGAAGCTGGGTGAAACGTGTCACCAGCTTTATAACTAATCAAACTATAAAAGTAAACATTACAGTACAAACTCAGCTCAGAGTAGTGTTTGCTATCAGGCTTCCCCAATCATATACAGTGTGAAGTGCAGAGGAGTAAAGCAGTCTGGTGAGCAACTGCATGTCTGCACACCTTCACATTCCACACTCTCTCAAAATCCATTGTTGAATTTGGGAGGGGCCGATTCACCAAGCCTTATTTGCTAACATCTGTCCGATCCAAGCCTCACAAAACAAGAAGTTTATGGTATGAATTCATTCTTTAAATGAAATTGATTCTCAACGTACAGTAACAGTGCAGAGACAGCTCTATTTGTTTGAGATGGTTGCTTAAAAAATTCATTTAAAAATATTGTCCTGTAAAGGTGTTTTTTAGGACAGAGTAACTCCTCTAGCTCTGTGACTCGATTAAATGCTGCCGGTTGCTTACACGTACTTTTATTTGTGCTTCTCTATCCTTTATTTTTTTTCTTCTCCATTCATATGTTATTCTGTCGTTTTCTGTCTTCTATTAATAGTGTGAGGACGTTACCTCTGGTAGACCAGCTGGTATGGCACCACTAGTCATCCCAGTCTCGGTCCCAGTTCGGAGAGGGCAAACTCAAATGGAAGCGCCGGGCAGCTGGACACAGCTGGATAAAGTTCGACATCCCTCAGAGATTTCACATCAACAGAGCCAGCCTGATTGTAAACCCTCTGTTATTGTAGCACGCCGGCACTCAATAAAGAACTCAGCAGCCGAGAGCTTCATCCAGGTTAATACAGTTAATTCAGGTTAATGCTAATGTTGCCAAGTCCACTTATTATAAGCGACTCTAGGCTTGTCGCTTATAGATTTGAGCAGTTGCAGGGTTGTGTATTTTTTTGGGCATATTTTTAGAATATAGTTATGTATTTGGACTTGTTAGTGGTTTGCAATCATAGGACTAAACGGCTTTATTGTTATTTCATGTGTGATTGTTTCTCTGTCTGTGAACACCACTGGCAATCGCTATTTTTCCATCAAAATATTGCTGTCATTTTTGCCAGTGCTGCATGTGTTACTACATTACGGAACCCACAAACCGACAGCAACTTTTTTTGACAGTATTTTGACATTTGAAGTAATTTAATTCAGCATCTTTATGCCATCACAAGCTGCTTTTGATGCAACAGTAAGATATTTCGGTAACACTTCACAATAAGGTTTAGTTTGTTAACATTAGTTCACTGCATTAGTTAACATGAACTAACAATGAACAATACTTGTATAGCATTTATTCATTTGTGTTCCGAAGATGAACGAAGGTCTTACGGGTTTGAAACAACATGAGGGTGAGTAATTAACGACAGAATTTTCATTTTTGGGTGAACTATCCCTTTAATCTTAGTTTATGCTAATTTGTACATTTATTAATACTTTTTAAAATCAAAAGTTGTATCTGTTATCATTAGTTAATTAAAGCTTATTGTAAAGTGTTACCGTAATTTGTTATATAATAAAAACCATAGCCCTCAATGCATACATATTAGATACAGTATGTAAATCATATTTAAATAGCAAGGGAAAATAAAGTGGTTGGCATTAATGTGTCTTATGAGTTTTGAGGACAATAAAATCCAGATTTTTATTTCAGGGCTTTTATGCTGTGCTAAGGTGGTTATTTTGTTCTTAAATAGCATGCCGTGGGAGATGGAGGACTAGAAATTATTCAAGTAATGAAAAAAAAAGTAATGGAAAAAAAAACATGTTTTTGTTATAGCATCCACACAATCCAGTTAAAATGGGGGCATAGGGGAGCCATATGCACACTTTATGACAGGGGTCTCCAAACTCTGTCCTGCAGGGCCGGTGTCCTTCAGAGTTTAGCTCCAGCCCTAATTAAACACACCTGAACCAGCTAATCAGGGTCTTACTAGGCAAATTCGAAACTTCCAGGCAAGTGTATTGAGGCAAGTTGGAGCTAAACTCTGCAGGACACTGGCTTTATGATATGCATATGGCCCACCCACAAAACCAGGGGTTGTTTATTTTGGGCCTACCTTTCCAGACTGGGTCGCTTGTTTTGGGCTTATTTTTTCAGACCACGTCACTTATTTCTTTAGTGAAACCTGGTTACACTGGTTAATGCTCTTAAATAATTTCCACACTAATGTTTTGCTTTTTTTCACATCAGAAGTGGCTTTTGAAAATAGTTTTTTAAAATATCGGTTTCTGCCATTTATGTTTGAATTAGGGTAAAGGGCAAGAAGACAAATCCAAGCGGCGTCCACGTCCCGAGCCTCTGGTCATACCTCAACCGTGCCCTTTCATCACCCCTTCTGTTTACTCCAGCATCACTCCCTACCAGAGCAATCTGCGCTCCCCAGTACGCCTGCTGGACCATGCCAGGATCATCCCGCCGTACACCCCTCCACCCATTCTTTCACCTGTGCGTGAAGGCTCTGGGCTGTACTTCTCGGCTGTCCTCTCTTCTATGGCAGCAGGCAGCCAGATCCTGCCACCTCCATCAACACCCCGCAGTGCCGCTCGAAGCTTGCTACGTTCAAGTGCGTTACACATTACTTTTCATTTTAAAGGACTTTTTTTATTAGTAACAATTTACAGTAAAGTTTTAAACATAAACATTTGCTAATGCATTAGTTATAGTAAACTATCAATGAACAATAGTTTCTTACAGCATTTATTCATCTAGGTTCATTTACAGTATAAACACAGTATTGTTCATCAATAGTTCATAATGTTAGTAACTAATGTTAACATAGAACTTTTAATAATAATGCATTAATATATGAGACCCTGGATAAATCTATAATTTTGACCCATACAATGTTTTTTTTGTTATTGCTACAAATATACCCCAGCGACTTAAGACTGGTTTTGTGGTCCAGGGTCACATATTTAAAATAATGATAAATGTCATTAATATAATGCATTATTAGTTTATATGAACTATTGTGCTAACTAATGTTAACTTATGTAACCTTATCGTAAAGTGTAACTTTTTTATCTTCACTATTTGTTTATTCACACTTATTAATAGATAAAACAGAAGTTAACATTAATTAGATATCATGAGCCATCATTAAACTGGACATTCGTAGAGCATTTATTAATCATTTATGTAAGTTTACAATATAAATACACTATTGTTTATTGTTAGTTCATGTTCATAATGCATTCATTAATTTTAATTTAAATAAAACTTGAAATGCTAAAAATCTATTAGTATATGTAAAAATAAAAGTAGATGAATAAAAGCTGTAAGTCTGTTGTTTATTAGTTAATACATTGTATATCATAATGTATCATGAACTAATATTCTTAAGAAATTAAACCTTATTGTTAAGTGTTACTGTATTATTAGCTGTTAGTTCACGTTAACGAATGGTAACTTACACAGCCTTAATGTAAAGCGTCATGTTTTTTCACTATTTGTTTATTTGTGTTTATTCTTACTTAATGAATTGCAAGTGTAGATGAATTGTAGTTCATCATTGACATGATTAATAATTTCTATCTCTCTCTCTTGCTGACTTTATTTTCTGCACATTAGGCAGTTCTGAAATCACCCCTCCTGCACTGTCAGTGATTGGAGAAGCAGCGCCTGTCAGCCTAGAACCGTGAGCATTTATTAAAATAAATATTAGCTATTCATCGCAATCACTATCCTCTATTCTAATATATTCTCCCTCTCTTACACATTGTAGGCGCATAAACATCGGCTCTCAGTATCAGGCAGAAATTCCAGAACTATTGGATCGAACACTGGCCCTAAAGGACCAGCATAAAGCCACTTTAGTCTGGCTTCCTAATTCAGAGGCTGATTCTACGCCCTCCCAGGATATGAGACGTAACTTGTCTTTAGACTGCATTGATATAGCTGATGTTCACCAACTGCATAAAACACAGACGAATGTCTCACGTACCTCCATTCTAATCCTTATTATTTTTCAGTTGATGATCTGATGAACCTGGTCTGCTCCAGTGTCATGTATGGAGGAGGAACCAACCCAGAGCTAGCGATGCACTGCCTGCACGAGTGCAGAGGGGATATCATGGTGAGCACAGTTGAATGTACAGTGGAACCAAAAAGTCTTTGGACACTTGATTCGCACTGAAAAATGTCTGACTTTAAAAATCACATTGACACTAACTGTAACTGGATAAAAGGATTTGTTTGTATATGTTGCTATATGTTGCATTGATATTTTGTCTAATTCAATAAAATTCATACACTTTTAAAGACTTAGACTACAATTCACAAGTTTGACATATGTAGTGTTTCTGAAAGAAGTGTCTTAGGCTCTTAAGGATGCATTTATTTAATCAAAAATACAGTAAAAGAGTACTATTGTGAAATATTATTACAATTTAAAGTAATTGTTTTCTCTTTTAATATATTTTAAAATGTAACTTATTCCTGTGATCAAAGCTGAATTTTCAGTAGCCATAACTCCAGTCTTCAGTGTCACATGATCCGTCAAAAATCATTATGATATCCTGATTTGATTTTTTTTGGAAAATATGATATATTTTTTCAGGATTCTTTGATGAATAGAGAGTTCAAAAGAACAGCATTTGTTTGAAATAGAAATCTTTTGTAACACTGAAAAAGTTTTAGTTTTAATTTTAATTTAAAGATTCGATTTAATGCATCTTTGTTGAAATAATTTTTTTATTTTTTTATTTTACTAACTCCAAAAATTTGAACGGTAGTGTAAGTGCCTAAAAGTGTCCAAATACTTGTTGGGGCCACTGTATATGCATATATATATGTATTCAGGATAAACAACAAATATCTTTTGGCTCTGTAGGAAGCCCTGGAAATGATGTTGATGAAGAATCCCATCTTCTCCAAGAACCACCATCTGGCGAACTACCACTACGCAGGTAGAAACTAATTTACATCTAATTGCAGATCTCACTGTGTTCACATTAAAAATGATTTGACATGATGTTACTGTAAATGATAGTATTGCAATGCAGCAGATTATCTGTAATGTTGTATGGTGGATAGAAAGAACTTGATGTCCCTTAAATATTGTCAGGATCAGACTACTGGACTGTGGATGACAAACAATACTTCAACAAGGGAATTTCTGCTTACAGGAAAGATTTCTTCTTGGTGCAAAAACTGGTATACAGTCTTTTTTTGTGTGCTGGTTATGTATTGATTCATGTAAATCAAATTTCCCCTTTGTAAGGTGACATTGTGTTTCTAATTTGACAGGTGAGGAGTAAAACAGTGGCACAGTGTGTGGAGTTCTACTACACCTATAAGAAACAAGTAAAGGTTGGCCGTAGTGGCACATATACATATGGACCTTCAGACCCAGAGGATAACATCTCTGTGGTAAAGGCTATTACTGCTTACCTGCTTTTAGACATTGTCAGTGTCTTGACTACTAGCACAGTGCCTTCCAAAAGTGTGAAAGCTGAAAATCATTATTGATTTACATCTACACAGGCAATTTGTATGAATGCTTAACAAATCTGTGCTAAAAAAAATCTGCACAATGTGATACATGAGTGCTTGTCATACTTGCCTCTGTCAGACTTGCATTTTTATATCATCAGTCTGTTCTTTTATATCCAACAAGATTCATGTGAAACAAGCAGAGGAAGAAAATAATAGTAGACAACAGGAGGGAACACAAGACAATGTGGATGGCAGTCTACAAGATGTGACCAAGGCACTTCAGGACAATGAAAATGTGAGTATTTGGATTGAAAGCATTCTCTTGTTTGTATATAAATATAGTGAATACATCATAAAGACACCATCATGTTTCTCTGAGCTGGAATATTAAATGCCCCATTACAAATAAGCTAAATGTGATTGTATGGTTGTGTTAACCCATTCGTCCAGGAGAGGGCAGCAGTGGCTCATGAGGAGCAGAAGAACAGCTCTGTGGAAGTGCCTTCTGGCCTGATGCCAGCGGCTCAGCCCCCCTTCAAAACTCCTTCCCCTGCACCTCCAAAGCCTGACAATACCGGGAAGAAAAACAGGGCCTCAACTGGCAACAAAAGTCAGGGAGAGCCGGAGGGTGTTTTCCCTTGCAAGAAGTGCAGTAGGTGGGTCAGAATGTGTCTTTGAATTTATACTCATTACATTTGAAGCAACCCAGCCTGTCTTAGTTGCACTTACCTCAAAAGACAGTTGAGAACAGTTTTGTTCCAGACGAGGTTTCTAAGCAGTTGCACCTATATGAGGGTTTACACTGTACTGTATTCATCGCACTCCTATCTAAGTAAGATAAGAGTAAGAATTCTGCTCACTGTACTCTTTATCTCTGATCTCTAATATAGTTTCTCTGAAATATTGAAAGTAATGTTTCTGTATTTGAATATCAAATCCCCAGTGTTAATATTATCATCACAGTTAATTTATTAAAATATTGCAATATTTTATGTTAATATTTCAATAATAAATATAATGGTAATATCCCAATATTGTAACATCTAGACTGTGATTTTGTTCCAAATTACTTAATATATCAATATTTCAATATCAGCATATTATTATTACAATGATTAATATGAACTAATGTTTTATAATAATTAATTATTTTACAATTCCGTATTTCAAAATAAAATATTTAGTTTCATTAATGATAATATCCTAATATTGAGACATCTAAACAGTGATATTTCTCCAACCCACTTTAATATAGAGTTAATTTAATAACATTAATTACATTAATTTTAATATTAAATATAATACTTCATCAATCTCGTTGGTCTGAAGCCACATAAACAATCAGCAAACGACATGCCAGCCTTAAATATTATTCTGTAAAGCAGAAGGAAATGATTTCAGTGGTATTTAAAATGATCCTTAAGGACAGATGCTTTTTAAATTCTTTTCTTATGCACATGCTTTGATAAATCCTTATTCATACCATTCACTCAGCTAGTTTTTTTTTGCTAGTGAGTCCCTTTATAGATGTTTATATTTTAGCATATGTAAAGCAGTTTCTTCATTTAAGGCGACTTGTATAAATTATAATGAGGTCTGTATATATAGGGTGTTCTATAAGGTGAAGAGTCGCAGTGCTCACATGAAGAGTCACGCCGAGCAGGAGAGGAAGGCAGCAGCACAGTGCCAAAGAGAAGAGGAGGAGCGGGCCGCTAAAGCAAGGCAGGAGATGCTCGAGGCAGCAAGGAGGAAGGAGGCACAAAGAGGAGGACAAGAAGAGAGTAGTGGAGCTGAGGAAAGCTCAGTAGAGCTGGATGATAAGCAGGATGAGGACTGGCATTGAGCAAGTACATGACTCTTTTAGTACTCTTCTTTAGTACCAGTTTGTACCAAAAATTAGCAACTTGTGCATCCCAGTTAAGGGCAGTTGGGATGTTTGAAATTATAAAATGCCTTTTAATTTTTACCAAAATTTTATAAGAACTTTCCTTTGGTATATATTTTTTATATATGAATATATGACACATGATAAATATGACAACACATGTAAAAAAGGTTTGCTGAGCTGATTGCTGAGCTTTTCTAGAAGCGTACACCCATTCAGTTAGATTTTGATCAAAGTACCCGAACAAATTTTGATTGCCTTCAGTGAGATTGAATTTTTTTATTTATTTATTTTTTTACATGGGTTTATGTAATATACATCATATGTACGTAAGAACACAAACTAAAATTCCCCTCATCTATCTATGGATAATTTCAACTAAATATTTCTTGTGCATGAAATGTATATAATGCATAGAAATATATATGTTGACCTTTGTGTATTATATTGTGTACAATATTGATCCTGTTGTATTTTTTTTTTCTTTCTGTACTCTAAACGTAAACGAATGTTTATTTATGTTTTGAATGCACTTAAAGAGGAGTGGAATATGTAGGATTAAGGGATTTTTATAAAAACTCGCATGTAAATAAAATCTGAAGTTTAGAAAATCACAACAAAAACATTTTGAACACAGCCAATTTCATCACATTTTTCACACTTTGTTGACTATTTGCTATATTTCATAAATGTGTGCACTATAAAAACAAACTTCCAGTATAAACTTGTATTATTTTACTTGATGTAATAAATATGAAAAAAAAAATCAATTATCATCAGCACTGGAAGAAGATTCAAAGCAATACTCTGTTTAATAGTCATTTGTGATTTATAGTAGTTTAAATGTATTCTGGGTTTGCTGATTGCTATGAACTAGTAGTTTTGGCAAATCTCTTTAAATTAAGGTTAAGATAATAATCATTAGTACCAGAAGGCTAAAAGACACCTTGATTCTTCCACTGCTCCCACCTGCAAAAAAAGAACCATTAATGCAATTAATTGGTTATGGCATTTTCTTAAAATTCACACAGGTAGAAAAAATAAATGGTTAAAATAATCTGTTAGACTGATGGAAGAGGCCATTTTTCAATGAAGCCCCTTCCGAGAGACAATTCAAATGCTTACCAGCATCAAAGTTATCCACTAGCATGCCTTTGGTGTCACTGAGACTTCCATTGTTTGCTTCTGGAACTACACCCAACAGCTTGCACATCAACGGATAGATGCTGACACTATCAAATGGCTCAGCCAAGAAATTGTCCCTAAAGTCTGGCCCAAAGGCTCGGAAGATCATTTTCATATCCATTTCCTCATTCCTGAATCCATGATCTCCTTTGTTGATATGCAAAATGATCCTCTGCACAAATAGCAAACAAAAAGTTAGAGTAGACGACAGACTCTACCTCTAAACATAACTTTCAAGCACTTTACTTCAACATTGATAATAATAACAAATGTTTCTTGAGAACCAAATCAGCATATTAGAATAATTTCTGAAGGATCATGTGACACTGAAGACTGGAGTAAAGGCTGCTAAAAATTCAGCTTTGCATCACATGAATAGATAACATTTTAAAATATATTAAAATAGAAAACAGTTATTTTAAATTGAATCATTCTTTTCACAATATTACTGTTTTTACTGTTTCAAAATGTTACGAACCTCAGACTTTTGAATGGTAGTGTATATTTACATATTTGTATTAATTAATATTTTACTGATACAGACTGTAGATAAAAACTGTCTAAACAATGTGAAGCTAGTATGACATAATTAGCATGTTTGACTACAATATTTCATTAATTGGGCTTTCAAACAGCTGGCTAAAATGAGTGATATTTCTTTCCAAAGACACTTACAGAGTTGATATTGAACCCCAGGTCAGCCAGAAGGACAATCGGTTGAATTCTCTCATGTTTGCGAATGTGAAAGTGTTCTGGAATCTCTTCTTTCTTATAGACTGTCAGATTGGGATGTGCGTTCTTCAGGGCATCATAAACTTCCTGTTCTCTGCCCTCCCTAGGCGTGATCATCCCAAACCCCTGGAAATGATGTTGATGAAGAATCCCATCTTCTCCAAGAACCACCATCTAGCAAACTACCACTACGCAGGTAGAAATTCATTTACATCTAATGGCAGAGCTCACTGTGTTCACTTAGAAACATTAAACATGATTCAGCATGCTGTGACTGTAAATGGATATAGTTTTGCAATGCAGCAGAATGTTTGTAATGTATGGCGGATAGAAAGAACCTAATGTCCCTTAAATATTGGCAGGATCAGACTGCTGGACTGTGGATGAAAAAAGATGCTTCAACAAGGGAATTTCTGCTTACAGGAAAGATTTCTTCTTGGTGCAAAAACTGGTATACAGTCTTTTTTTGTGTGCTGGTTATGTATTGATTCATGTAAATCAAATTTCCCCTTTGTAAGGTGACATTGTGTTTCTAATTTGACAGGTGAGGAGTAAAACAGTGGCACAGTGTGTGGAGTTCTACTACACCTATAAGAAACAAGTAAAGGTTGGCCGTAGTGGCACATATACATATGGACCTTCAGACCCAGAGGATAACATCTCTGTGGTAAAGGCTATTACTGCTTACCTGCTTTTAGACATTGTCAGTGTCTTGACTACTAGCACAGTGCCTTCCAAAAGTGTGAAAGCTGAAAATCATTATTGATTTACATCTACACAGGCAATTTGTATGAATGCTTAACAAATCTGTGCTAAAAAAAATCTGCACAATGTGATACATGAGTGCTTGTCATACTTGCCTCTGTCAGACTTGCATTTTTATATCATCAGTCTGTTCTTTTATATCCAACAAGATTCATGTGAAACAAGCGGAGGAAGAAAATAATAGTAGACAACAGGAGGGAACACAAGACAATGTGGATGGCAGTCTACAAGATGTGACCAAGGCACTTCAGGACAATGAAAATGTGAGTATTTGGATTGAAAGCATTCTCTTGTTTGTATATAAATATAGTGAATACATCATAAAGACACCATCATGTTTCTCTGAGCTGGAATATTAAATGCCCCATTACAAATAAGCTAAATGTGATTGTATGGTTGTGTTAACCCATTCGTCCAGGAGAGGGCAGCAGTGGCTCATGAGGAGCAGAAGAACAGCTCTGTGGAAGTGCCTTCTGGCCTGATGCCAGCGGCTCAGCCCCCCTTCAAAACTCCTTCCCCTGCACCTCCAAAGCCTGACAATACCGGGAAGAAAAACAGGGCCTCAACTGGCAACAAAAGTCAGGGAGAGCCGGAGGGTGTTTTCCCTTGCAAGAAGTGCAGTAGGTGGGTCAGAATGTGTCTTTGAATTTATACTCATTACATTTGAAGCAACCCAGCCTGTCTTAGTTGCACTTACCTCAAAAGACAGTTGAGAACAGTTTTGTTCCAGACGAGGTTTCTAAGCAGTTGCACCTATATGAGGGTTTACACTGTACTGTATTCATCGCACTCCTATCTAAGTAAGATAAGAGTAAGAATTCTGCTCACTGTACTCTTTATCTCTGATCTCTAATATAGTTTCTCTGAAATATTGAAAGTAATGTTTCTGTATTTGAATATCAAATCCCCAGTGTTAATATTATCATCACAGTTAATTTATTAAAATATTGCAATATTTTATGTTAATATTTCAATAATAAATATAATGGTAATATCCCAATATTGTAACATCTAGACTGTGATTTTGTTCCAAATTACTTAATATATCAATATTTCAATATCAGCATATTATTATTACAATGATTAATATGAACTAATGTTTTATAATAATTAATTATTTTACAATTCCGTATTTCAAAATAAAATATTTAGTTTCATTAATGATAATATCCTAATATTGAGACATCTAAACAGTGATATTTCTCCAACCCACTTTAATATAGAGTTAATTTAATAACATTAATTACATTAATTTTAATATTAAATATAATACTTCATCAATCTCGTTGGTCTGAAGCCACATAAACAATCAGCAAACGACATGCCAGCCTTAAATATTATTCTGTAAAGCAGAAGGAAATGATTTCAGTGGTATTTAAAATGATCCTTAAGGACAGATGCTTTTTAAATTCTTTTCTTATGCACATGCTTTGATAAATCCTTATTCATACCATTCACTCAGCTAGTTTTTTTTTGCTAGTGAGTCCCTTTATAGATGTTTATATTTTAGCATATGTAAAGCAGTTTCTTCATTTAAGGCGACTTGTATAAATTATAATGAGGTCTGTATATATAGGGTGTTCTATAAGGTGAAGAGTCGCAGTGCTCACATGAAGAGTCACGCCGAGCAGGAGAGGAAGGCAGCAGCACAGTGCCAAAGAGAAGAGGAGGAGCGGGCCGCTAAAGCAAGGCAGGAGATGCTCGAGGCAGCAAGGAGGAAGGAGGCACAAAGAGGAGGACAAGAAGAGAGTAGTGGAGCTGAGGAAAGCTCAGTAGAGCTGGATGATAAGCAGGATGAGGACTGGCATTGAGCAAGTACATGACTCTTTTAGTACTCTTCTTTAGTACCAGTTTGTACCAAAAATTAGCAACTTGTGCATCCCAGTTAAGGGCAGTTGGGATGTTTGAAATTATAAAATGCCTTTTAATTTTTACCAAAATTTTATAAGAACTTTCCTTTGGTATATATTTTTTTATATATGAATATATGACACATGATAAATATGACAACACATGTAAAAAAGGTTTGCTGAGCTGATTGCTGAGCTTTTCTAGAAGCGTACACCCATTCAGTTAGATTTTGATCAAAGTACCCGAACAAATTTTGATTGCCTTCAGTGAGATTGAATTTTTTTATTTATTTATTTTTTTACATGGGTTTATGTAATATACATCATATGTACGTAAGAACACAAACTAAAATTCCCCTCATCTATCTATGGATAATTTCAACTAAATATTTCTTGTGCATGAAATGTATATAATGCATAGAAATATATATGTTGACCTTTGTGTATTATATTGTGTACAATATTGATCCTGTTGTATTTTTTTTTTCTTTCTGTACTCTAAACGTAAACGAATGTTTATTTATGTTTTGAATGCACTTAAAGAGGAGTGGAATATGTAGGATTAAGGGATTTTTATAAAAACTCGCATGTAAATAAAATCTGAAGTTTAGAAAATCACAACAAAAACATTTTGAACACAGCCAATTTCATCACATTTTTCACACTTTGTTGACTATTTGCTATATTTCATAAATGTGTGCACTATAAAAACAAACTTCCAGTATAAACTTGTATTATTTTACTTGATATAATAAATATGAAAAAAAAAAATCAATTATCATCAGCACTGGAAGAAGATTCAAAGCAATACTCTGTTTAATAGTCATTTGTGATTTATAGTAGTTTAAATGTATTCTGGGTTTGCTGATTGCTATGAACTAGTAGTTTTGGCAAATCTCTTTAAATTAAGGTTAAGATAATAATCATTAGTACCAGAAGGCTAAAAGACACCTTGATTCTTCCACTGCTCCCACCTGCAAAAAAAGAACCATTAATGCAATTAATTGGTTATGGCATTTTCTTAAAATTCACACAGGTAGAAAAAATAAATGGTTAAAATAATCTGTTAGACTGATGGAAGAGGCCATTTTTCAATGAAGCCCCTTCCGAGAGACAATTCAAATGCTTACCAGCATCAAAGTTATCCACTAGCATGCCTTTGGTGTCACTGAGACTTCCATTGTTTGCTTCTGGAACTACACCCAACAGCTTGCACATCAACGGATAGATGCTGACACTATCAAATGGCTCAGCCAAGAAATTGTCCCTAAAGTCTGGCCCAAAGGCTCGGAAGATCATTTTCATATCCATTTCCTCATTCCTGAATCCATGATCTCCTTTGTTGATATGCAAAATGATCCTCTGCACAAATAGCAAACAAAAAGTTAGAGTAGACGACAGACTCTACCTCTAAACATAACTTTCAAGCACTTTACTTCAACATTGATAATAATAACAAATGTTTCTTGAGAACCAAATCAGCATATTAGAATAATTTCTGAAGGATCATGTGACACTGAAGACTGGAGTAAAGGCTGCTAAAAATTCAGCTTTGCATCACATGAATAGATAACATTTTAAAATATATTAAAATAGAAAACAGTTATTTTAAATTGAATCATTCTTTTCACAATATTACTGTTTTTACTGTTTCAAAATGTTACGAACCTCAGACTTTTGAATGGTAGTGTATATTTACATATTTGTATTAATTAATATTTTACTGATACAGACTGTAGATAAAAACTGTCTAAACAATGTGAAGCTAGTATGACATAATTAGCATGTTTGACTACAATATTTCATTAATTGGGCTTTCAAACAGCTGGCTAAAATGAGTGATATTTCTTTCCAAAGACACTTACAGAGTTGATATTGAACCCCAGGTCAGCCAGAAGGACAATCGGTTGAATTCTCTCATGTTTGCGAATGTGAAAGTGTTCTGGAATCTCTTCTTTCTTATAGACTGTCAGATTGGGATGTGCGTTCTTCAGGGCATCATAAACTTCCTGTTCTCTGCCCTCCCTAGGCGTGATCATCCCAAACCCACCGTAGTCGAGCAGGTCAAATCGGGCTAGATTTAATAAACTCATGTAATTGCTAAGTTTTATCTCATTAACCTCACTGGCCATTTTAACAGTGGTCATGCCATGGTCTGAGGTCAGGATGACGTTAAGATGATCAGTCAAACCATTTTTGTGAATTGCCTCCCTGAGGTAGCCAATAGTGCGGTCAATCTGTTCAATGATCTTTATTCTCTCTGGGGTTTCGGGGCCGAAAGCATGACCCACGTTGTCTGGTTCTCCATAGTAAAGCGTAACAAAGTCAAAGTCCTCTTTGGTGAACCATCCCATCACAGTGTCGATGTTCTGCCGCCACTCTGTCTCATTGTCATCAGGATGCTCGTGATCTTCCACCAGGGAACGATCCACAGCTTGGCCACTGTAATTTACTCCTCCACCAGGATAGAAAAAAGAGGCTGTTTTCAGGCCCTTTGAAATATATAGGAGACGTTATTGCATTATTTGTTAATGAATTTACGGTGAGGGATGATTTTACAGGACATATTTACATACACTGTAAAATAAAATCTGAAATTTATGGTAAAAACTGACAGCTGTGTTTGCCAGAACATTACAGTGAAAGAAATCGGTTTTATGGGTTTAACTTAAAATCTCTTAGTAATACACTGATAACCAGCAAAACACACAGGTGGCTACACATCACGTCACTTCACTTTAATCACAAGTAGCTTTTGTGTGCATATAAGGTGCACACAAATACAAAAACACCATCATGGTAAAAAACATAACACTAAAATAATGCAATAAATATTAATTGAACAACATAAGACATAACAAAAAACCCTCATATGCATAAATGATAAGAAAAAAAGAAAAAGAAACAATAGATTTTTTCAAAATCATCAAATGTGAAGTGTCTGTGAATGTCAATTTTACAGTTTTTCACTGTAAATTATAAGATGCTTTATTTTAATCTTAATTTTAAAGTCTTTTACTGTTAAAATCTGCTCACAAAAAGCTTGTCAGAGGAGTAAGTTCACCTGATTCTGGGCTGTTATCCACAGGGGCAAAGCACCATTATCCCACCATTCTGATCTTTTCAATGTTGCCTTGTGGGGAACTCTCAAGCCAGTTGTATCATTAAACATCAGGTTATGGACAACACCATGATCCTCTATCCATCTCCCTGAAGAAAAGTTTAAGATAGAATCACATCGATATATAATAAGCATATATTTAACTGTTGAAAATTATATTCAGTTAGATCAACCAATATTTTTTTTTTTTTGGGGCCAAATAGTGCATTCAAAAGATTACTTGTGATCGCAGTGTGTATGTAGACCCACATTTCTTAATACTCTTAAGCATGACCAATACACATAATGTCAAGAACTGTAAAATTACCATTGAGCAAGGTTTATGAACAAGGAACACTGATTATGTAAATAACCTTGAAGTTGGAGCTCGTGCTAACTATGCACGTCATTTAACGAGGCTGAGGTAATTGGCCCAGTAAGTGTGTGCTCAGCAGCTCTCAGAAGACAGCTTAAGACTTTGAACATCATGATAATGCAGACTGGACAAGAATATGTCAACTATGGTGAAGCAGATGCATGAATTTATGCATTTGTTATTAAAGAATATATGTATGTGTGTATGTATATATATATTTTTTTTTTTTTTTAATTTATTTATTTTCATTCTTAACCTATTTTCTTTATTAATTTATTTTAAATGTTTTAAATATTTATGTATTCAATGCCTATTTTTAAATATATTTTTTATTCATTAAATTATTAATATTATTCAAATTCATAACAATATTGCTATTTGCAATTATACCCAATTCACTGACCGACCAAATCATATGTGAGGTTTAAATCAACCACCGATTTAAATCTCATAATATTCAGTATGCATTACAAAATTATAGCTACTACTTTTAATGTTTGGATGAATTAGGCTTCTGCTCTGTTCTTTTTGTGCTATCACTTCTGTAAGTGTGTAGCCTATTCTACACTTAAGTCAATAAGATATAAATAAGCAGAAAGTTAGCCTTACCAGTAATAGTTGTAAAGTGTGATGGAGATGTCATGGTGATCGCTGGGGGATTGATATATTTTGCCTTCACTCCCTCTTTAACTAGTTTGTCTAGATTTGGTGTGTCCACATCTTGGTCATAATCCCACCTGAAACCATCAAAGGAGATCAGCAGCAATTTATTATACATCCTCCTCTTGGACAGGGGTTTACCGCTCACACAGAGAAACAAAGTCAACACCAGCAGAAGTTCTGACTTCATCTTGAGAGGCTGTTAAGCAGAGTGAAAATCAGCAAAAGGTGATCTTGTTTTTATAAGTATTATCAGGGGACTGATAAGACAATCTATATATTTTCTGTAGTTCTCAGTCAGTAATTGTCAAAGCCAGTTATACTTTCACATAGTGAACAAATTATCATAAAACAAATTTGAAATATACTGTAAAGAAAAGTTTTATTTTTGCTCTTTGATTTCCTTTTACTATTACCATCCAAAGAAAAATCATTTTCCGTTTCACAGTTTGCATTTTTGACCCACATGGGCCATGAGGGGATTTATCTTCAGAGATAAGGATAGAGCTGTTAAGCTGTATGGATGATATAAGTTTAGAGCTCTGATATATTATTAATCATCAGTTCACGTCATCTTTATATGCACACAAGATCTATTGAATTAAAATCAGTGTCAAATAAAGCATGGCTTGCGTTTGTTCTATAATGCACAACATAGAATGAATGGACTTTTACTGTAGAAACACTAACCGGAAGCAGGAAGTTTATGTTTTCTTCTCTCATTACAGTTTTTGTGTTCACACTGCTCTCGGGGCTGGGTCCCTGACAGCTGATGTGATATTCAGAAAAAAAGCTTTAGTTTTTTACAAATACAAGTTAAAGCGTTAAAGAAGGCATTTTTGTTGCTCAATTTGGATAAACGTAAGGTAAGATTCGACAAGTGATCGCAGCTTATTAGCTTCCCGAAAAGGCCACTGCGCTGTTTACTGTTGTCAGGCTGACCTTTTCATAAAACATTTGTTACTATAACAATGAAGGCATCTAAATCTATATACAAAACATAGATTTAACGAATCGTCACGAAAATCACAACTCTCCATTTAAGAAAATAATTTTGGCTGTGCTGTACAGCTGACGGTATTCACATAATATTCTGATGGATGTATATCATGGTAATGAATAATTGTCATATTCATATGCTGTGGAATTTACATAGAATAACCATGGTAGTTTCTAGTACACCTCTGTGAATGAAGGACAAATGTTCCTTTAGGTTGTCAATAAAATTGAATGAATTTGATCTTTTAATTTTAGTAAACACCTTTGTTTGCCTGCATGTAATGCTTCAGCCAAGTTTGTAATGTCTTATTGTATACACTTGATTATTGTTGTACACTGACAGACGACAGATGAAGTATCTCCTATAATATATTGACATTTTATAATATGTTGCATTCAAAAGAATATACTTTTGAATGACTAGCACACAGCATCAACCAGCAGAAGGCCCTTTCAGCTTACATTTGTTTAATGAAAATATTGTTTGCTGATTCCCATGAGCCTGTTGTGCTTTTAATTTCAGAAATAAACATGACTGCCATCAAGCATGCCCTTCAGAGGGATATTTTCACCCCCAATGATGAGCGTCTGCTGAGCATCGTCAATGTCTGCAAGGCAGGGAAAAAGAAGAAGAACTGTTTCTTGTGTGCCACAGGTAGAGCACAGACACAGATCCATGTCAGAGAATGTCTGCAAACATTCTTTTATTGTTTATTTTCTCTGTCAATTCTGTTTATTATCATTAGTGACTACAGAGCGCCCAGTGCAGGTGAAGGTGGTGAAAGTGAAAAAAACAGATAAAGGAGATTTCTATAAGAGACAGATGGCATGGGAACTACGGGACCTGACAGATGTTGATGCCAAAGATGCCAATAAGGTCAGAGTTCATATGTGAAATATTATATCAATTCAGACAGGAAATAAATATCAGTAATAAAATATCTATTACTAAATATTATGGATACATAATATACCTGTACCAGATTTCTTATTGGATGATATTGTATACAGTGTTATTTTAGAATTATTTATATACTATGAAAGTATATATTTATTAATAGTCATTAATATGTTCTTTTGTCCTATATTTTGAATTAACTTTCAGTTTTTATATTTTAGTTTTTATTTTATTTGAATTTTAGTTCAGTTTTTGCAAGTTTATGTACTTTTGTCATTTTTATTTTTATATTTCTATTTAGCTTTACTTTATTAACTTAATTATAAAACTTAAAAATTTAGCTTTAATTTAGTAATTTTAGTACATCAACATAAACTTATTTTATTTCAGTTAGTTGCCAAGGCAACATTTCTAATTTTCATTTTTTTAAGTTTAAGTTTTTCATCTAATATTTATACTTTATTTTATTTAACAAAGACATTTTTATTTTAGTTTAGTTTCCAATAATAACACCAGTTGGATATTAATTTTTTTAAATAATTTAAATTAAATGTTAGATTACCTTTGCCGAACACTCACTTAAAATTAATCTTTAAAACCGTAATAATTTAATAACACTGTTAAATGTAATCTTTAGCAAAAAAATTAAATACATTTTTAATACTGCACATAATAAAGTTGTTATACCTAAATTCTCATATAGCACTTAAAGTGATTGAATTAACTTTTTATTGTTTTGTATTTAAATGATTCAGACAGATATTTGGGGGTAACATGATAATAATTATCGACTTGGTATCGGCCTGAATTTACTGAGCAAATCCTCTACTTCTCCATCCTTCAGGAGAACCCAGAGTTTGACCTCCATTTTGAGAAGGTTTATCGGTGGGTGGCGAGCAGCACTGCAGAGAAGAATTCATTTATCTCGTGTATCTGGAAGCTGAACCAGCGCTACCTTCGGAAGAAAGTGGAGTTTGTAAACGTCAGTCCACAGCTGCTGGAAGGTGTGGCTCACTGCTGCTCCTAGTGGAGTGGGAGAGTAATAGCATGTTGTTAAACTACCAGTGTGTTTCTAATATTTAATTACCTCACAGCCATGTTGAGGTAACTATTACATTTTCAGTGGTAGGAACTCAAACTAGTGTCTGTTTTCCTGTGGCTACTGCTCTCTCTCTCTGTCTCTTTCTGAGCTCTTTGGGATTCTGTAATGTGTCTTTTTGAGTGTGCTTTAATGCTTAATGCTTTAACCTGATCTGTGCTGTTCTCTCTAAATCTCTCACTGGCCAGAGCTTCCTAAAGCTGAAGGTTTGTATGCTGTTTTTTCTTCCATCTTCCATCCTTCTCCAGTTTCCACCTCCTGCTATTGTTTCCCCTTCATTAATTGTCTTTCTTTCTTCCCATTAATTCATTTGCTTAATCACATATAAAGTTATCTGGGAACATTTACCCACTGCTCACTCTCTAGATTGTGTTTGTGTACATGTGTTACTTACATTGCGTTCATTGAGTAGTTTAGTTCATATACTCATATGCACACATACACTACCATTCAAAATTTGGGTATATTTGTTTTGAAAGAAGACCCTTAGACTCACCAAGGCTGCATTTATTTAATTAAAAATACAGAAAAAATAGTAATATTGTGAAAAAATTTACAATCTTTCTATTATAATGTAATGCCATTCTATTATAATCTTACAAGTTTTCTATTATTATATATTTAAACGTAATTTATTAATGTGATGGCAAAGCTGCATTTTCAAAACACAAAAGAACAGCATTTATTTGAATTATAAAATTCCTTACTGTCATATAACATGCAGTTTCTTAAAAAAAAAACCATCTTGCTGACAACAGACTTTTGAATGGTTGCATATAAAGTACTATACATTTGAGGTTAATAAGAACACTATTTTCATGTGTCTTTCCTTCTTCTCAGAGTCGGTCCCGAGCGGAGAGAGTCAGAGTGTTGCAGGGGGAGATGAGGATGCTCTGGATGATTACCAGGAGCTGAACGCCCGTGAGGAACAGGACATTGAGAGCATGATGGAGGTCTGCGAGTACGCCATTTCCAATGCAGAGGCCTTTGCTGAGAAACTGTCCCGTGAGCTACAGGTCCTAGATGGGGTGAGTATGTTTAATCGTTTCCTAAAATAAAACACTGGTGTGCTGACCTTAGAAGTAGTGGAAAGTATTGATTGCACCTGTCATCAGAAGTTTATAATTAACTTTATCTATATTGAACTGAGTGCAATAATTACAGTCAAGGTAAATGTGGATTGAAGTTTGATTAGAGAATAGCTGATAATATCAAGTAGTCTGATTATTATTTGACAGTCATATCAAAGATAAAACAAGGCTTACTTTTGTTATCATGAATCGTAATATCTGTTCTTCTCTGTTTAGGCTAACATCCAGTCCATCATGGCCTCCGAGAAGCAGGTGAACATCCTGATGCAGCTGCTGGATCAAGCTCTGGCAGAGGTAGACAACATCGAGGGGAAGTTGCTCAGTTATGAGGAGATGCTACAGAGCGTGAAGGAGCAGATGGACCAGATTTCCCAGAGCAACCGTCTCATCCAGATCAGCAACACCAACAATGGCAAACTACTGGATGAGATCCAGTTCCTTGTGGTATGTTGGGCCACAGTAGAGATAGATCCCAGAAAACTTTCTTTTGTTGAATGAAGCACAGCATTAACAAAAGAATTCTAGATAAATAGTCGATCTCACTAATCAGCTAGCTGGTTGGTGGACGACTAGTCACCATTGTGACCCATCAGTAACTGCCCCTTTAAAAACATGAATATTGGGATAGCAGTTGTCATAGAAATTCCAAGCTGACTTTAAGGTGCTCTGCAGCTCTGGTGGCTGTGGTGGACTCTTACCACCTTTATTTCAGGTGGGCTCAGACTTGCAGCTAACAGTTTTCCCAGTTCAATCACTAAAGTCTAGACTATTTAGTCATGTGATAAGCATACACACATATTCCTTATAACACTTCCACTCTTTTAATGAAAACTGTATAAATTAAGGCATTCCCAAACTTTTTTTGGTCAGAAAAAAACCTTTGACCTCAAATGTTTACTGGAAATGTCACTGAGATTTTAAGTTACACAACGCATTCGCATGTTCAAAGATCCCTGATAATGATTAATGCTCACATGACGTGCAGGCAAACATAAAATATTTCATCTTTTATAGTATGTGTTTTATTTGGATTTGTTTTTATTCTACAATTATTTTAATTTTACATTTTTATTGAATTAATTATTAGCTTTTAATCAAGTCATGGACATGCAGTTCCTTCACAGACCCCAGTCTGGGAAACCCTGTATTAAACTGTAAATATAAATAATTTTATTTTGCCTAATGGTGGCATATGATTTATGTATTTTTTTATCTAAACTTCTGTATTTTTGTTGATTAACTTATGCTTTTCGGCCAGGGTGAGCAAAGTTCTAGATGTTTTGATTGTGCTTCTGTACTGCTTTTGTTTGACACTAAAACAAAACTCCAATAAAAGATTACTGGCATGATTAGAATTCTGGGACCCACTTTATATTAAGAGGCCTTAACAACTATGTACTTACATTTAAATTAATAATTTGGTACAATGCACTTATTGTGTACATACATGTTTTTACATTGTACTTATATTTTAAAAATACCTGCATGTAATTACATCTGTAATTAATTTCTGTAATTACATTTATAATTACACAGTTGACCCATCCCTTACACCTTAACCCACCCTTAAACCCACCCATACCAACAAACCTGTCCCTAACCTTACCCGTATCCCACCTCAATAGCAGCAAAAGTGTTTTGCAATACAATATGAACACAATAAGTACATTGTACTTAATTTTTGATGTAAGTACATAGTAGTTAAGGCCACTTAATATAAAGTGGGGCCGAATTCTGATATGTCCATAATTATCTCTTTGTTAATATTTTTGTGTTTTGTCCATAAAAGAACTACATGGATCTATCAAAAGGGCACATCAAGGCTTTGCAGGAAGGAGATTTGTCTTCTCCTAAGGGTATCGAGGCCTGCATCAACGCGTCTGAGGCTCTGTCACAGTGCATGGACGTGGCACTCAAACCAGGTACTGCTCTCAAACTTCACCCACTGACTGAAAACAGCACTTACAGGTGTGCATGAGCAGCATTAATCATGTTTGTGTGATGTTCTGTAACAGGCCACGATAAGCTGATGGCAGTCAAGCAGCAGCAGCATCTGTTTTCTGAGCTCAGAGACACTTTTGCCCGACGTCTCACCAACCACCTCAACAACGTGTTTGTGCACCAGGTAACATTATTACACACATTACAGGTAAAGAACACGTACAACTTACATATATGAGGAGTATTAGGCTTTCTTTCCTTTTCCTACGAGTCTTTATCTGCCTCTCTCTGATTGATTCTTTCTCTTGTGTTCCTGTTTGGCCACCAGTCGTGTCTCTCTATATCACTTTACTTCACTGTGCTCTCTGTTCCTCTGTCAGTTCAACCACTTCAGTCACTTCAAAATGACCATCCCTCAGTTCTATAGGTCGTCCTGTCTGTCACTCCCTGTGAGTACGCCCACTCCAGCACCCTGTTTGACCCGCCCACTCTAACAGTCACGCAACTCCACTTCCTTAGACCTAACTGTCTCATCAATGCTTCTCTCTCTTCATGGAAACATTCCATTTAAGCATGTTCATGGTGATGTAAACCAGACGTTCTCATCTTAGGGTTTCTAAGATGATCGCTCCCATAAACCTCCCAGCCAACATCATTCTCTGTTGATTTTGTCCCCTGAAGATTCTTCATTGCCTTGTTTTGCTCTCTCTCCAATGGAATTGTGGGGTGCTCGTGAGAAGACATGGCCTGATCAGCATGCAGTTCCTGCAGTGTTTGCTCTTATGATGTGGATGTTTCATAGATGCATTTAGAAGGAACTGCTTGACTGTGAGAATAGCACTACTGTTGGTTTGGTGGCATTGTTCATAGATTCATGAGGCTTGGTGATTTTTGCTCGACTAATTACTGTTTGAACTTGGTGTCACTGTAATATAACAGCTACCTTTTGTGTGGGAGTAGGGCTGGGTGTTTATGCAGATTTCCTGATTCGATTTAATTCTAATTAACAAACTCTCGATATGCCTCCGTAATGATGTCTATTTTCTCTTCCATGTGGAGAGATATTCTCTTTCTGCTAATGCTGGTATACAGGACAGTGTTTTAGACTGATTCACTGAGTAACTTGTATTTTTTTAACTATTCATTAAACACCTTTAGAATCAAGCTACACTGGTTGTACTGTGTTTTTAACTGAAAAGAACCAGTTCATAGTCATTTGTTTGTAAATCAGACCTCACTGGTCATGCTGTATGCTGTTGATTCAAATTTAAATTTCGTGATTTCAAACTATGCTGCGCTTTGTTCATTTGCCCACTATCATATTCATGTCATTTTCACTGTTTGACGTATTGAGTGTTACCTTGGCTTTATTTGAAAAAATATGATTCCCAATGCACACAAACTTCCCAGATTACAGAGTGCTCTGTTGGTTACAGTGTTTACTTCCTTTTTATTTATATATATTTTAAACTATTTCTTTATTTGTGAAAAATACCCTAATAGGATTGCAGAATCAAGAAGTTGTCATCTAAAGTATAAGTATGTTTATTTGACACATTTTTTAAAATTAATTTTCTAATTATTTCAATTTTCTTAAATATTAATTCATATTATAATATATAAAAATTTGAATTAATATTTAAGAAATTTGAAATAATTTGAAAATGAATTAATTATAGATGTGTATGTATTATATATTAATTATATATACTGCATGTGTATGTATATGTGTATATATATATATATGGAGTATAAATATACATACATATACACACACAGATATTTGCATCAGCTGTCAAAAAAAACTATGTCGGCCGACCACTATTTTCGATACACTAAAAAGAACCAGTTCATGAATCAGACTGCTCTGTTCACTTTGTATTTTTTTGATATACTAAAAAGAACCGGTTTAAAAAGTCTTTTTTTTTTTCCATGAATGAGATGCATTTTGCATTCAACCCGCTAAGGACCACTCAGTGGAAAGGTGTTTTTTGCCATTATTTTGCGGTACCAGTTGCATCACATTCAATACAGATTGCGAACAGATGTTCACATCACAAATGTAAAATATGATTTGTAAAATGTTTTAACACAGCCACTAAAAAAACAAAAAAAGTCGTAAAGCAAACAAACACCAAATTCACCAAATGAAGATTATTTGGAAAATCTGTATTTTTACCCAGCCCTATGTGAGAGTAAAAGTGTGTGTGTTCCTTAATATTAACTTGCTTGGACAGTGAACTTTTCTCATACTGAGTTTCCACTCACTGAGTGTGTCTGTGTGTTTGTGTGTGTAGGGACACGATCAGAGCTCCACACTGTCCCAGCACACAGCTGAGCTGACACTACCCAAACACAGCCCTCTGCACAGAGACCTGCTCAGATACGCCAAACTCATGGAGTGGCTGAAAAACACCCAGAGAGAGAAATATGAGGGTCTTTCCAGGGTAAGTGTTTATGACTTCCATCACATTGCATTGATTATCACAGTAAATGTTATCACGACACATGTCAGATAACATTAAGGTTTGAAAGCATTCAGTCACGTTTGTACAAATTGTTCCATCTTGATAAAGTCATAAAAGTGAATGGAAACCCTAATCGATGAACTGTGTGACAAAAGTCAAGGACAAAAACAGGATGTTTAATTAGAAAAATATAGGGTGGGACTTTATTTAATGGTTTATTTTATTTAAAAGTGGGTGTTATATACAAATCAGAATACCAGCGTAAATGTGAATGTAAACACTTATTATAGGCGTACAGTAATAATTCAGGATAAGAAAAAACACATTTGAAAGATAGTCTCATGATGTATTATATCATATCTTTTTTTTTTTAATTTTGAACAAAACGAAGAAAGAAGACAATCAGTCCCATTATTGCTGTATGTTTTAAAGCATTATATGTTTTAGCAGTTTAACAGTTACAATCACCAACAGTCAGTTACAGCAACCATTAAAATGCCATCATAATAATGCTGCAATATATTATCCTGATATCCTGAGAGCCAATGGCTTTCCTTTAGAAATGGCAATGTCTTAGCGAAGGAAAATAGCAGTTATATTTAATTTTAGCTTTGCTCAGACTTAATAGTACTGCTAATGTTATTCTACAAACATTAGACTCAATAAATTCAGGGGCAAGAAAACGAAGCGTTTGAGAGAGGCGGGGCATAGAGGACCTACAATAATGTACAGTATTTGAAAAATAATGTGTTTTTTGAACATTAAAGCATGTCAACATATTCTGTTACACCAAATACACAAAATAATGATCTTTAAAAAAGCATCATATGACCCCTTTAAGGGTTTAGTCGGAGCGATTAGTCCTTTTCTGATCATCACCTAATGTGCTAATGTGATTCCCAAATGTTTTAGATGTATTTATCTCTGCTCTCTATTATTAAACTGTCTTTAAAATCCAAATGTGATGGCAGACTTGGCCTGGATGTTGCTGTGTGTACTCTTGACAAATTGGATTTGTGTCCGGTTCCCAGTAATGTTCCCTCTGTCTCATTTCCTGTGATCTTTCTGCATTCCTCTAAATGAGAAAATTGCTGACAAATAAAAAAAATCTAAAATTGGACAAAATTCCTAGTCCTCCCTTATTATTATTTTTTTTTTACAGACCTATGTGGATTACATGACCCGATTGTATGAGCGGGAAATTAAGGACTTCTTTGAAGTGGCAAAGATCAAAATGGCAGGCACTAGTAAGGATGGGAAAGGAAAATTTGGTAAGACCTCAAATTTTTTTTTTTTTAAGTTTGTTTATCAGGAAACCAACTCTCAGTCACTGTATGTCTTGTGCTTTGTTGTGTGTTGTCTGTGTGTGCCGTTTGTAATACAGTATATGTGTGTTTTTTTTTTTGCACTAATTTTACACTACATGACAAACACATAGTTTCAACAAAGCTGAATTGAAAGTATCCAACATAATTCTCAAACGGGTGTGAAAGTTATGGTAGATAAATTTAAAGAAAAGGAGCAAAAGGGAAAAGCAGCAAACCTGACATAATCCATTACAATTACAATTACTGCCACTTAATGGCAAAATTGCAGAAAAGATTCAGAGATTCAGAGAGCGAGAGAGACAGGGTCACATCACAGTGGAGTCAGCTGTCTTAACCGTGGCTTGTGTACTGCATCATTACTGTGTTTGTCACGCGACTCTGTTCCCCTTTCTCTGTCTTTATATTTATTTTGAAAGATGAAGCTCGCGATTATGGTAAGGGGCTTTACATTTCCGACGAGTGCTTGCGGTGTTCGGCCAATCACAGTGCACTGGGTCAGCTGGCCAATCAGAGCAGACTGTGCTTGTCGGAAGGAGGGACTTTGTAGAAAACGAAGCGTTTGAGAGAGGCGGGGCATAGAGGACCTACAATAATGTACAGTATTTGAAAAATAATGTGTTTTTTGAACATTAAAGCATGTCAACATATTCTGTTACACCAAATACACAAAATAATGATCTTTAAAAAAGCATCATATGACCCCTTTAAGGGTTTAGTCGGAGCGATTAGTCCTTTTCTGATCATCACCTAATGTGCTAATGTGATTCCCAAATGTTTTAGATGTATTTATCTCTGCTCTCTATTATTAAACTGTCTTTAAAATCCAAATGTGATGGCAGACTTGGCCTGGATGTTGCTGTGTGTACTCTTGACAAATTGGATTTGTGTCCGGTTCCCAGTAATGTTCCCTCTGTCTCATTTCCTGTGATCTTTCTGCATTCCTCTAAATGAGAAAATTGCTGACAAATAAAAAAAATCTAAAATTGGACAAAATTCCTAGTCCTCCCTTATTATTATTTTTTTTTTACAGACCTATGTGGATTACATGACCCGATTGTATGAGCGGGAAATTAAGGACTTCTTTGAAGTGGCAAAGATCAAAATGGCAGGCACTAGTAAGGATGGGAAAGGAAAATTTGGTAAGACCTCAAATTTTTTTTTTTTTAAGTTTGTTTATCAGGAAACCAACTCTCAGTCACTGTATGTCTTGTGCTTTGTTGTGTGTTGTCTGTGTGTGCCGTTTGTAATACAGTATATGTGTGGTTTTTTTTTTGCACTAATTTTACACTACATGACAAACACATAGTTTCAACAAAGCTGAATTGAAAGTATCCAACATAATTCTCAAGTAAAATCATTGAGATGTCAATCATTGCTTGTTTCTGATATGATGGTGTGCAAAGTCACGTTTTCATTGTAATGTCCTGACATGTGCTGCAAGGCCCACAGTGTGTGTACTATTACACATGGCATTAAATGCATACTAGAGGCATGACAACCAAAATATTCTGTGGAAAAAAAAACCTGAATACATTAGATTTCAGGATGTTTAGAACAATGTAGTGCATCTCACAAAATACTTACGTAGAAAGAAATATGTATAGAAATTGTATTTATATCGTATCATTTATATATATTTTTGGAAACTAGGGGTGGGCATTTTTCCCCACACCATTAGTGTCACATTAAGACTTTTGTGTTAAGTAAAAAAAAAAAAAAAAACGTACTTTCAAAAACATCTCTCACTCCATTGTGCCCCATTGAACTGTTTTTGTTTCTGATGACCGCAATGCCATATTAAATAAAATGAATATATTAGCCCATATTAATGACATGTTTGCATATAATTATAACTTTATCTATGTAAAAGGTTTTGAATTCGGGGAAAGGAGTTCCTATTTTTGCGTCTTTCATGATTGATCACTGCTGTCATTTCCAAGTACTCCATCACTTGTGCCCATCCCTATTGGAAACATTTATCCCTGCTTATGCTGGTAAACTTCCAGGTGTTAGTAAGACGTTCCTCTTGTTTCAAAAGCTTTCATTAGCAGTCCAGTTCTCAGCTTTTTCCTCCACGTGATGAAATAAAATAAGCTTTTTGTTTCCAAATGGCCAAAGAGCCCGAAGCCTAAATTCAGCCACTGCAGTGCATGTCATATTTGAAAACTTTGACCTTTAACCCCTAACTCTGGCACCATGCTGCATGTTGTAAGCCTAACGTGTCTCTGTCTCTGATGCCTGCCTTTCTAACCGGCCTCCAGCCACACTTCCGCGGAAAGAGAGTGCTCTCAAACAGGAGGTGGAGAGTAAGTATCAGCACCACATGCCACGCCTATCCCATAATGCCTTGCTTCCTCTTAGTCAAAAGGCATCTCTTCCTCACAAGCACAGTAATCCATTATCTTAACTTCAGTTTCAATGTTTCATGGGTATGCAAAACATGTGTTTTCAGTCTTTTTTAAGCTTGTTACATGCACCGTTTTATGGATTTCATCTTACCTTATTCACTTTTTCTCAATCAAAACTAACCTCAAACATGTCTACTGATTCATCAGATATTAAAATGTTAATGTATCAGTGGTTGGTGGGGGGGGTGGGATTATTTAATCTTGTCGTAAAGGGTTGCATGTATGTTATGACCCCTTTCAGATCAACATGTACTTTAAAAGGTAAGCATATAGAAAGGTGATTGTAATGTAAATGAAGTACATCTGACTTGTATGTTTTATATCCAGTTCATGTTCTGATGGTTTCTCCTCTGATGGTCTCTCCAGGCCTGCATGGGAGCTCTGGGAAGCTTACAGGCTCCACGTCAAGTCTGAATAAACTCGCTGTGAGCAGCTCCAACAGTAGGCGCTCTCAGTCATCTTCTCTGCTTGATATGGGCAACATGTCTGCCTCTGACCTGGATGTAGCAGACAGGACCAGGTTTGATAAGGTGCGCCACCGCTCAGACTTGGGGATTGTTTCGGCCCAATTTAAAGATGCTGACTGGTTCTAAATTGTCACTTGAAATGTGACTAAATTCTGAAATTTGTTGTGCAAAGTATAATCATATACAGTGATGTACGAAATGTAATACTTTTATTCATGCATTAATTTAATCAAAAGTAATAGTTTGATTAGACTTATTATTTGAATGATTTCTGAAGGATCATGTGACACTGATAAGTGGAGTAATGGCTGCTGAAAGTTCACCTTTGGCATCACAGGAGTAAATTACATTTTAAATATATTCAAATAGAAAATAGTCATTTTAAATTGTAATAATATTTCACAATATTACTGTTTTTACTATATTTTAAATGCAGCCTTGGTGAGCATTAAATCTTGCTAACCCTACACTTTTGGACGATAGTGTACATATCGCAATTCTTTGTGTTGTTTTCTAGATTTTTGAGCAGGTTTTGAGTGAGCTAGAGCCACTGTGTCTGGCTGAACAGGACTTTATCAGCAAGTTCTTCAAACTGCAGCAAAATCCCACACTAGCTCAGGTGAGTATCAGATACAATCCAGACTCAGATCTATGTGTGTATTGTATTTATTATGTGTGATTTAATGATGTTATAAATCCCTAATTAGGTAGAGAATGTGGATGACAGCGATGGAACGGTTCACTCCAGACTCCTCAATGAAAACAGACATTCAATATCTGAGTGAGTGACCGTTTTCTCAGTTCTTACAAATCTGTTTTCAAGCAGATTATAAAAAATTATCATACATCCATTTTTCTTGCAGAAAGGACATGGTTCGGATGATGATGAATAAGATCTTTCAGAGCATTGAGACGGAGCTGAACAGTCTGATAGCTTTAGGTGATAAGATAGACAGCTTCAACTCTCTCTACATGCTGGTAAAGATGAGTCACCACGTCTGGACGGCCGAAAATGTTGATCCCGCATCCTATCTCAGCACAACGCTGGGCAATGTGCTAGTCACTGTCAAGAGAAACTTTGATAAATGCATTGTAAGTGGAGCTCATGTCATGCATTGTTTGATGTATTGATGGCGAGACCAACAAACCAATCTTCTGATGTTTCTGTTGCTCTTGTAGTCTGGACAGATTCGTCAGATGGAGGAGGTGAAGATTTCGAAGAAGAGTAAAGTGGGCATCCTGCCGTTTGTCACCGGCTTTGAGGAGTTTGCTAAGCTAGCTGAGGCTATTTTCCGAAATGCAGAAAGACGGGGTGATCTGGATAAGGCCTACATCAAACTCATCAGAGCTGTCTTCAGTAACGGTGAGGATCATAACCAACGGAACATCTCATACATTTGTTAATTCATCACTAGTTGTAAGAATGTGCAAGAAGCCCTAAATTTCTTGAAATGCTGCTTTTCAGACTTTTTTTAATATGAAGAGAAAGAAAACATGAGAGCATGTGTAATCGAGGCATTGAGAGAGTGTTATTTTAGTATCATTTTTATACTTCTACATATCATTTAATACTATTTTGCATTTTTCAAAATATTTTTTTATATTTTGATATACAAATCAAAAATATAAATACTAATTTAAAATATTATATTTGCAGTTTAGTTCATTTTCATTTGTTTCATTTTCGTTTAAGTTTTAGTAGTTTTGTTGTGCTTTTGTCATTTTTATTAGTTTTTGTATGAATATTTCTATATAGTTTTAATATATGTGACCCTGGACCACAAAACCAGTCTCAAGTCGCTGGGGGATATTTGTAGCAATAGCCAAAAGTCGTGGCCTAATGGTTAGAGAGTCGGACTCGTAACCCAAGGTTGCGGGTTCGAGTCTCGTACCGGCAGGGATTGTAGGTGGGGGGGGTTAATGTACAGCCCTCTCTCCCACCTTCAATACCATGACTGAGGAAAGATGATTTTCTCAATATTTAGATTTTTTTGCACCCTCAGATTCTAGATTTTCAAATAGTTGTATCTCGACCAAATATTGTCCTATCCTAACAAGCCATACATCAATGCTTTCAGATGATGTATAAATCTCAATTTCAAAAAATTGACCCTTATGACTGGTTTTGTGGTCCAGGGTCACATATTTTTATTTCAGTTATAGTTTTGGTCATTTAAGTTCTTTAGCTTAAACATATTTTACTATGGCAACATTTCTAAAAAAAATTTAATTTTTATCTAATTATATTTTATTTCAGCTTTATTTCAATTACAACACTGTTGAGAACCATCCATTAATAGAGAATGTAACTCATCATTCATGTACATTTTCAGTGTTTGCGATTCCGCTTTCTCTTTTGTTTTTAACCCTCTTGTTCATCTGATTGGTCTCTTTCTCTTTATATCCATAGTGGAGAAAGTGGCCAACGAGAGCCAGAAGACTCCACGTGATGTGGTGATGATGGAGAACTTCCACCATATCTTCTCAACACTGTCCAGCCTCAAGATCTCCTGTCTGGAGGCAGAGAGAAAGGAGGCCAAGCAGAAATACACAGAACACCTGCAGTCCTACGTCATCAACTCACTGGGCCAACCGCTAGAGAAACTTAATGTAAGCCAAATCTTCATGGAAACCAGGTTTGAACAGTATTACAGTAGAACATCCATGTAAATGACCATTTTAGAAATGAAACTAAAATGTGCTTGGACTATTTAATGTATTTGGATTCTTCAGCCTTTATGTTTATGGACCATTTTTAATTTTCTTCCCAATTTGCAGCATTTCTTTGAGGGAGTGGAAGCGCGTGTAGCTCAGGGTGTCCGTGAAGAGGAAGTGAGCTACCAACTTGCCTTCAATAAACAGGAACTGCGTAAGGTTATTAAAGAATACCCTGGGAAGGAGGTGAAAAAGGGCCTGGACAACCTCTACAAGAAGGTGGATAAACACCTGTGTGAAGAGGAGAATCTGTTACAGGTGAATAAAACTAGAGGAAAATAACACTAAATGGCTAAATTAAATGGCATTTATAATGTTTTTGAGATTCTTGAGTGTGAATGTGAATTTTGATCTGGCCACTAGGTCGTGTGGCACTCCATGCAAGACGAGTTCATTCGGCAATACAAGCACTTTGAGGGCCTGATAAACCGCTGCTACCCGGGGTCAGGAATCACCATGGAGTTCACCATTCAAGACATGTTGGAGTACTTCTCCAGTATCGCTCAGTCACACTAAAACAGGAAGCTGAACAATTGTGAAATTGAATGAAAAGAAAAGTGCTGTGTGTGAAAGAGAAAGAGAATGAGTGCTTACATTGTATATATATATTACAGTGCAGCTGTGTCATAACAAACACTGGAACCCTGTTTGTAACATGCAAATTGCGTTTCTGTTGTTTCTGATTTCATTGTTTGTTTGTTTGTTTGTTTTTTGAAAACCAAAATTGCTTTATAACACATTAGTATAGTGAATCGCAAATGACTGAACCTTTCTCATTACTTCTACAAAACACTAAAAATCTGTGGCTGATTTTTCATGCACATGAATGCTGAGTATCAACACGTAAAAAAAAAGGCCTGGAGTCATATGTAAGAAAATAAAGCATACTTTCATTTTAAATTCATTTTCTTTTCTTCTTGTAATTGATTGTGATTTTTGATTATAAAACAGATTATCATTGTGGTGTGGAATTCCCCAGTGAAGCCTGTTCACACAGAGGATGAAAAGATTAAAGTTTTAATAGTCATTTTAAGTAAATGAGAATAGGTGAGTTCACACAGCTATAACAATAACGACAGAGTTGCAATCACTTTCAGCACATTTTTTTTTCCACCTGATGAACAATAAAAACATTGTCAGCCAATCACAACTCGACTCGAGTTCACAAAAAGCTCGAGCATTTAAAGTTGCAGGCGACATAACTGCAGCAGAAGCTTATAATACGCGGAAAATCATTCTTGGTGTGAACGAGAACGATTATTAAAACTTTATGGTTACTGTTATCGTCCTTGTGCGCAGATCTTGAAAACTACTTTTTAATTAAAGAAAAAAACTCAAATATTTTCAATATTTAATAACCGTTTTATAGAGGCCTGGCGCCAGGATGGCATAACTGGGGGGCATTTCAATCCCATGTGGGGTCGCCACTGCTTATAATGCGCAATGACAAAACAGACATAGACACGCGCATACACATACAAAAAACATAGGGCAACAACATTACTTTTTCTGTCCAACTAGCTTACATAACCAGACAGTAAAATGTGATTTTGTAATGTAATATCACTCACTTAATTAATGTTTTTAATAACCCCCCTCCCCCCACCACAGGTGTTGTGCCCATTTTAGACCCCCTGGCAAATTATTACCCCTCGTTGAAATCTCTATCTGATTGCCTAATCCTAACCCCTCCCCCACACCTAATCCTAAACCTACCAATACTAGGGGGGTAATAATCTGGCAGGGGTCAGAATTGGGCACAACACTGGCCCTAGCATTTTGGGGACCCTAAACAGATTTTGGGAGCGACTTGATTGGTGTCCAGCATCAATGACGAACAGCGATGCTATGACCGGGTTTCCCCAGAAATCTGTCTCCCCACCCCCATTGCTCAATACTACATTTCCCATCATGCTCTCTTAAAAAGCCCCCATCATGCTCTCTTAAAAAGCCCCCCCCACAGAGAGCACTGAAATCAGATGTTGGTTAGCTGCTTCACTGAAGCGATGGATGTGTGTTGATCTGTCGGTATTTTGAGTCACTGAGTCTCAATAACTGGACGGACTCTTTTATGCATGTGATTCACTATGCCGCCTCGCAAGAAGGAGTACGGGATTAAACGAGCGAGCGGATCCCTGGTCCGCTTCAGACCGCCAGTGAGCGCGACCTCCGTTCGCCGACACTCCGCCGTCGTTCCTTCGGTGCTGACGTTTGCCGTGATCGTGGCATCCGGAGGCCTGTTGCTCATGATAGAGAAAGGAATGCTGAACAGCGTGCAGACTCCGCCGCCACGCGCCAACGGGAAGAAAGTGGAAAACCGACCGAGGCATATTGACGCGGCTGTGGACGTGGAGTCTCAGGTAAGGTAGTCGAACAGAGACACAAGTTCGCTAGATTGTGAATAAACAGTGGCATATTTTGTGAAATTCATAAATATTTTGATATGTTTGCATGTAGTCATCAGACTTTCCTCGAGATTCACGAGTCTGTACTGCAGTGAATTATCATGATAACTCGGGCTGCGGCTCAAAACATAGTGAGCTTTCTACCTAGTCAACAATTCTGTTCAATACAGTGTCCCCGATTATTACTTGGACAGTTTAGCCACACGTAAAATGTTTTAAAAAGTTTGTTCGGTTTAATATGAAACGATAGATACACTTTTAAAATGTCAAAGCAATAGGTCAGGGGTGGCGAACGTCGGTCCTGGAGAGCCGCAGCCCTGCAGAGTTTTGCTTCAACCCTAATCAAACACACCTGAACAAGCTAATCAAGGTCTGAAGGGTTATTAGGAAGCTACAGGCAGGTGAGTTTTAATTAGGGTTGGAGCTGAACTCTGCAGGGCTGCGGCTCTCCAGGACTGGAGTTCGCCACCCCTGCAATAGGTCACAAAAAATGATCAGAAAACTGAAGTTTATTCCGATTATTCCTATTTATATCTGATTAATCCAATTATACTGACCTATTATTACTCCACTGGAGGATCTATGGATTTAGTTAAAATTGGTATGTGGAAAGCATCTTTGATGGAACAGAGAAGCTCCATATTTCATTCCAGAAAATATTAAACAGCTGCTTACCTTCAAGCCAAGATATGAAATATGAAACTTGGGGCCAATTCTTTCAAGGTAAGATCCCTGCTGTGCTCTTGACAAAAGAGTACAATCACATGACATTTAAGCTACCTTCTCTGATCTCTCTCAACCACTGATAAGAAATCTAGACTTTTAGATTTTGGTGTTGCCTATAGTAACCAGGCATTATTGTAAAGTTTTTACATGTATTCACTATTCAGTAGGTATAATCACTTTAATGTGTTTTGTTTTTTTGCAAAATGGCAACTGAATGTGTGAAGTGAGCACTCTTATGTTGATAAAGTCTTCATCGTATGTATTTTGTATATTTTGCAACATTTTAATGTTTTCTTCTTGTGTATGTATCCTGAAAATGATTGAGTTAGTTTTAAGTGCAGTTAACATGATGTTTGGTCATCCACTGGAATGTCTAGAGTAAATGTTGTTTTTTTTTTTTTTTTTTCTGTTTAGTAACACATTTTCAATGTTTCATCTGCGTTTGGCTTGATGGAGAGATGGTTATTGCTAAACATAGTTTGCCATTTTTAAATGTAAATTTTTTTTGGCAGTGTACATTAGGAGAGAATTATATTTAGATCAGACCAAGTGAATTGAGACCTTTGAGTAAAGTCACTTTGTTCAAGAATCATTTGGTACACAATTTCACAAAACAACTATAAAGTATTAAACTATTTAACTATTAAAGTAATTGGAGAGCACATCATATTTTATTTCCATTTTTACATGGTTCTCTGAAATACTTGATTCTTATTGGTAAGTTGTGCCCATTCAGGGGTCTGATATGCAATACTTTTTTCCCCCATCCATTTCTCCCATAGCAATTTTCAAGTCTTTGTTAAAGCATTATAAGCCATCAACCAAATCAACTACAGACTGAATAACAACATTACAAACTTTAAAGCAAAAAAAAAAAAGGATTTGGAAATATGTTTTCTTCTTGTGTATGTATCCTGAAAATGATTGAGTTAGTTTTAAGTGCAGTTAACATGATGTTTGGTCATCCACTGGAATGTCTAGAGTAAATGTTGTTTTTTTTTTTTTTTTCTGTTTAGTAACACATTTTCAATGTTTCATCTGCGTTTGGCTTGATGGAGAGATGGTTATTGCTAAACATAGTTTGCCATTTTTAAATGTAAATTTTTTTTGGCAGTGTACATTAGGAGAGAATTATATTTAGATCAGACCAAGTGAATTGAGACCTTTGAGTAAAGTCACTTTGTTCAAGAATCATTTGGTACACAATTTCACAAAACAACTATAAAGTATTAAACTATTTAACTATTAAAGTAATTAGAGAGCACATCTCTAATTACATTAAAGTAATTGGAAAGCAAAAAAAAAAAAGGATTTGGAAATTTGACGGAGAAAGACAAAGGTGTAAAACTGTGTACTTAACTGCTTTAATAAGTGAAAAAAAACTATAATCCCATGAAGCAATTTTTAATAAGTTAAAAATAGGGCTGCACGATGAATCGCATGCAATATTTAAAGGGGTCCTATTATGCTCTTTTACAAAGTCTTAATTCTGTAATCAGCTGTAAATCTCCATCACGTGCGTGCTTTCACATGAAGCAGCATTTACTACACAGAGCCGTTGTTCACTGACAAGTTGCGCAAAACCACGATCATATATGCCTTTGATTAACAACCTTGTAGCTCACTGTGGTCTACAAAACATGAGACTAAATTTATGCGTGAGTTTTTATGTTTTTATATTGTTCTAAAGTTATATATGCCTCTTTCCCCCCAGATTGTACAAGAGATCCGCAATCGCACCATAAGATCGATGTGTGGTCAGAAGAACATGCCTCACAGCCTGTGGTCTCTCAGTCCGCTGCAGAGGAAGACTCTCCTCCAGCACATACTAGTAAATGACGAGCATCGCTTCCTGTACTGCTACGTCCCCAAAGTGGCCTGTTCCAACTGGAAACGAGTGCTGAAGGTACTGAGCGGCGCTCTAGCCAACGTAGACGTCAAAGTGAAGATGGACCATCGTGCTGATTTGGTCTTTCTTTCTGACTTTCCGCCCGAAGAGATTCGCCATCGACTACGGCATTATTTTAAATTCATGTTCGTGCGAGAGCCGATGGCACGCTTGCTTTCAGCCTATCGCAACAAGTTTGGCGAAATTAAGGCATATCAGCGGAAATACGGTGCGGATATCATACGCCGCTACAGAAAAGGCTACGCAAAGGATAAAAAAATAGCAGGAAATGACGTGACCTTCACAGAGTTTGTGCGTTATTTGCTCGACGAAGACCCGGAGCGGATGAACGAACACTGGATGCCAATTTACAACCTGTGCCAACCCTGCGCCATAGAATATGACTTCATTGGCTCGTACGAAAGGCTGGAGAGTGACACCGCTTACGTTCTGGAACGTGTCGGAGTGCCGCAACATGTACGCTTCCCTGAACGCCAGACGTGGTACAAACCCGTTACCAAAGAAACGCTGCATTATTACTTATGCACTGTGCCACAGAAGTTTCTCAAAGAGCTCCTGCCCAAGTATATTTTGGACTTCTCTCTGTTCGGCTATCCTTTACCCAACACAACCACTGAATACTGTAGGCATTAACAAAGGCATTGGGTTTATACCAGCTTTGTGATACTGTCTATAATCTTTCAATATGTTAATATTTTAATACTTTTTTAACATAGATTTTTTTTACCTGTACAGAATTGAAAATATATTTGAATATAAGCCTCAGTACAGTGTATTTGAGAGCTATTTAAGTTCAAGCCACTATTTAAAACTGGAAATACTCAATCAGCTATTTTTATTCATGAGATGCAGTAGGATGTCCAT